GATGCGTCCTGGACCTGGTGACGATGTCAAGAAGAGGAATGGAGTAAATCAGGACAAAATCAAAGCTTTTCGGATCATTTTGGTTCTGCTAGTGTTTTCAACACTAACACACAGTCCTATCTTTGTCTCTCTTGTGCTTTATTATATTTTAGATTCAGAGAAGTTTCTTCTATCCTGGTCCATTTCCTTGTTATTTGCGATCCTGTTTGGGTATCCTTTCCTTTATCTCAAAAGGGTTGGAAAATTGCTCTTTTGTTAACATTTAAAAAGTTTTCATGAAACTTTTCATCCAGCAGAGAACAAAATCTGTACAAATTCAATATCAAGGCTGTCTTGCTAAACCACTGAGTGGCAAACATAAGATTTCTTTCTTCCAAAGACATAAAACAGGATTAATAAAACTGACTGCTCTGTTGGGTCATATTCAAATCTTAGGACATTTTTGGGATCTTATTGTAGACATTTGTACTCTAGAATTTGTTTAAATCTGTTAATTTCGAGGATTGGGGCTGCCATACACATTGAAAACCACCACAGCAAACTATGAGTAAATACAATTCCTCACCCACTGAACTGTGAACCAGCCTGACCAATAACTTAAGTCAGAATAATTATTATTTAGACCAATCATACCTGACCAGTTAGAGACGCCTAAACCGATAATCTTGTCAGAAACCTTGACTCAACCACAGACGGTACTGCTGCTAATAGCTCTTTACCTGGAAAGTGACTAGCTTGTCCAAACAAAGTCTAATATTACTCATATATTACACTGGCTAAACTTCTCATTTTGCTGTGAATGTGGACAAAGTTGTTATAAACCTGACAAATGGGATTATGACAAATTGTTTTTTCATTTGCACGCCTAATATGCATTTTCCATGCTTCGCAAACTGAATTTGAATTAATGCAAAATTGCTCTGTAGATCTAAGACAAAAGTCATAATTCATAACTAAGCATTTTGGCAGCATATGAAACAAATCATATTCAGTGGACCTTCAACCTGAACCAAACTAATAATTGGCTACTGTGATTTCAAGTGTTTGGTGGACAACTTAAACACTCAGGGAACGAGGACACACTTCCTTGAGATGCTCCTGGTGAGAAAATATACTCAGAATTTACTTTAAAACTAGATAGCTGGTTTGTAATGTTTACTCATATGGTCCTAATACATCTTTATTCTCCCAAGAGTTTCATAAACTCTAGATAAGACCATGACAAACCTTTCAATGTGCCTGCCATTAACATACATAGTGAACTCCAGCGCATGCTACGTTTTTTCCTCCTATGTCGTCGCTGCCTCTCTCACCATCAACAAGGTTCTTGGTCTTCCAGCAAAGAAGTTTTGCATTTGTTTTTAACAAAAAACAAGTTTGACAAAACTACATAGTAGGGCTGGGCGATATGACGATACTATCGTATATCGACGATGTCTCGTAAGTATCGCGATGTCGATGTCAACAGTCAGGTAACAGACGATATCGACATTATCAAAAGAAAAAAAAAAGACAAATGATAAACCTAGTAAGTTGCAAAACATGTTTTACATAGACCCATAGTCACCATACAGGTCTTTTTGCATGCAAGAATGAAATAATTTAGTAGGAGGGTTGGGCATCGAAAAGTTATTCCAATTTCGGAAATCAGATCAGATGCATAAGGTCAGGAATCAAATTACTTGTTATAAAATTACATTTCGATTCTGCTTATCGATTTCTGTATGTACTTTTATTGTGATTTAAAAAGATTCAACTAAGAAGACGAAATAGAACTCACTTCTGCACTCGCGCGCTGTTTTCTGTGCTGCACACACACAAAACGCACGCACAAAAGCTGCCTCTTATATACGCGAATACTGGACTGAGCTCTCTTTCTCGCATTCTTACACATTCTAATGGACAAATACACACAGAATTATATCAAAGCATCCCATAAATTCAATCGGTTATGTCTTAAGTGAACGTAAAGAGTTGAGAAAGAAAACAAGGGTGTACTGTGCATTGACAGCAGCCGCTGCCGCCAGTCATTAATGTTAATTTAAAGAACGAAGGAAAAGAAAATCCCTCACTGATCTTGACTGAATCACTTTTGTAACCTCAGTTTATATTTTATTTGCCTATTGTTCGGCGCTGACTACTGTAATGGCAACGTGCATCTGTGTATGCGATTATTTTTGGAGCGTTCCAATATAATTTATCCTCATTTAGGGTATAGGCCTATTCTATTTTGATCTGCAGTTTAATAAAAGATCAACAGAAAAAAATACAAAAAGTAGCACTGCATGTGTTTCTGAATATTTATTTAAACAGACTGCATAATAAAAACCACAAACATGACCGGTATAATTAAAATACGCACTATCAGCGGCAGCGCACATTTCAGTGCAATATTTTTACAGATTTTTTATACCATGTATACAATATAATTATGTTTAATTAAGCTGATATATAGCACTATAAATTCTTAATTCATTTGCAACAAAACTATACATTTTTTGTTGCAAACGGCTAAAGACATTATAGTACTATATCTCAGCCCGCTCCGCAACATAAACGCGTTCGGATATTCGGCAGCCCAACACTGAATATTATATTATGGCCGTTGTATTTTGATTAATAAAGTAAAAATTATAAAATTACAATACAAAAATGAAATTTAATTTACCCTGCTTCTAAATAAATAAAGCAGGTATTTTTATTTTGGTGGTGGCAGGGGCGGGGCGTGGTGGAGTTGGGGCTTAGGTAGACGATATTTTCGGATATCGCCATATTTTTAAATGCGATTATCGAGAAGAAATTTTTGACATATCGCCCAGCCCTACTACATAGGTGAATTTTATGAACTTTAGGTTCTTCTAAATATCTGTATATGAAAAGGGTGTTGAAATCCTGCTCACAAAAGCAGTTGTGATGTAGCTGAGATTTCACAGATCTGTTGTGATTTATACTTTGCATTGCAAAGGTGACTCTTTGCCACTGTTGTGTAGTTTAACAGAGCACTAAAATCCCATCTGTCCCCTAGAGCCCTGACTTACCCTTTACTTCAAATTGTACCCTGGAGATGTCTGCATAAAAACATAGAGGTTACCCAAAAATGCCAAATGCATATTCATCTTGCTGCTTTTCTGAATAAATAAATAAATGCATAAAATATCTACTAGTAAATCATTAGGCTCCCTATAATATTTTGCAGTTATGTACCATTCTGGAACTGTCTAGAACTTTGCATCATGGTATTAGCTTTTGGTGTTTTGTTCCTCATTTGTAAATCACTTTGAATAAAAGTATCTGCTAAATTAATAAATGTAAATTTAAGAGTGCTGGGTAAACAGCAATCAAACAAGCTAACGTAATTCATACTGCAGTGTAGGGATGGTCGATATGGGCTTAAAAATGTATCACGATAATTTCTGATATTTATTGCGATAACGATATCAATGACGATAATTTAGGGAATCCTGTTTCTTTAGAGAAAAGTATTATCTTTCCTATTTTTACCCAAAATAGATACACACGTATTGTAATGACTTTAATTCATACTGGAAGCCGGAGAGCGCCCTTGCGCAGAAACTCCACATATGCATAGTAGAAGTAATGCTCCAGGAAGAAGTATCCAGTGATCGCTGTAGCTGAATAAAACGCAGATAGAGACATTTTAACTGAGGAAACCTGAAGACAATAAACATGCGATTGCACAAACTATATGGTATCTGTGTTTTCAAGCAATCTTGGGTATTTTTTATAAGGCTAGAGTATATTTATAATGCAATGCTAATCGACATAACCTTTATCACTGTATATAATGCTATAAAATAGTATGATTTCTGCCTTATTCTGTGATACGAAACCACGTCTGATCACAAAAATACGTTTTTCAAACACTTGACTGTTATGAAGTTAATAAGGAGAAAAAGCATGTCAATAAATTAAAATATCTTTGTTGGACAACAGGTTTGTAAACGACACATGTAAAACTCGCACACGTGCTACTGTAGTACATTTACTCAAGGCTCAGACCGATTTTTGTCGCACTGTACAGCCCTATCCAAACCTGTTCCAGATTGTAGAAGGAGCTGCTCAATTTCACGTCCACCTTCCTTCACGTCACTCCACAAAGTCACACACAGAAATATGTCAACACAAAGTCACAGCTCAGCCGCTGCGCATCTCCATTCAAACACAGCGGTGTTTCGTTTATGAACGAACAGTTTTTTTAAACGAATCTAGCGAATCAGTGATTCATGATTACCCATTCATAAAGACAGTCACTCTTGGATGAATAAGCCGTTCGAATGAATCAATTGAATGAATGATTCAGTGATAAAAATCAGTGACTTGCCGCCACCTGCTGGCAGTTTTAGTTTCATTTTCAAAGTATCTTTTCAGTTATTTAAATCATTTAATATTTCTATATTCAAAATTTTATATTTAAAACATTAATATCATCATGGATTTATGGATTTAATTGCACTCATTCCACTTCTGAACCTCATTAAATGTCTGAAAGTACATCAAACAACACTTTTGTGTTCTTCTGTGCCACCTCTACAAATTATTTTTGTTAATACTGATTTCATTTGATTTTTAACTTGTTTCTTATTCTACTCTTATTCTGTTGTTAAGCTTATAAAATATAATTTAAGAATTTGACAAAAGATGACATACTTTTAATAAAGTTAGAGGAGTCAAATATTACCTCGTAATGGGAAGGCTACTTTTTGATAACATTTTGGATTATTGATTAGAAGGTGCTCCTAAAATTTTGAACGTGCTCCTAAATTTTTTAAGTTAGGAGCACAAGTGCTCCTAAAAAGAAAAGTAAGCGTCAAGCCCTGCAAGGGGAAACCGCCCAAAACACATAAACAAATATGTTGAAGGATTCCTGTGATGTTTTTATCAACTGTTTGAACTCTCATTCTGACGGCACCCATTCACTGCAGAGGAGCCACTGGTGAGCAAGTGATGTAATTCAATTTCTCCAAAATCTGTTCTGATAAACAGGATGGGCTGTGGGGGAGTACATTTTCAGCAAAATATTAATTTTTTGGGTGCACTTTTCCTTTAAGAACACAATATATGCAGTCTGACTCTGATTACAGGCCTAATACGATTGAATACCTTTCCAACTGCATTTTCTTTTCTACAATCAGAGCCTGAAGCTGTTGCTGCTGAGCCTCCCGTTGCTTTTCAACCGATTTCAGTAAATTTCTTGCACCTATGGCCTGTATAATAATAATATGTCAAAATAAGTCATATTAATGTACATTACACAGATATGCACTGCTATTCATTTAAAAATGCAAGAACATACCTTCATTTTTTCAGTTTCGGCTTCCTTTGCTAGCTCATCCACAAGTTCAATAAGTCCACCTACAATTTTCTGAAACTGACCTATCTCTGTTTTAAAATAAAATCCAATGAATTATTGATCTGTACTGTGAAAAGAAGCAAAGAAATGCTGTTCAGTCTGCACGAGAGATAAACTTCACAATAAGACAAAGAACCAAATGAAAAACTCACTGTCAACGAAGTCCTCGCATTCCTCTTTGAGCTCAACGGTTTTCTGGCTCACATCAGGCTCGAGTACTCGCAGTTTGTTGAGTTCATCAAAATGAAGACCAGCTTCGGCCAACGGGTCTTTAGCCATGACCAGAGGACCTAAAACTGCGTTTGGAACTCGATAATAGCTAAAAAATCACAAAAATACACAGACGAGCATCATTTCATGTCGTTAAAAGTGACGAAAAACATAAGTAACAGTGCCCATATGTCACCAGATCACAACAAGCTAGCTTACCGATTAGCTAGTTAGCTGGTTAATTGGAACTACCACTCTCGTTACATTACATAAACCACGCAAACTTTGGTTAAACACACCGATGGAAGAAAAAAAATAGTACACTTCACAAATGTCGCTTTGTTGCTGGCAAGGTCTGGTTGCTATTGAGATAGATAAACGAAAACAGACCAGCTGGGAACTTTAGTATCTTGATAAACATTGTTGAAAAGAAAAATACATTCCACATAATTATCCCCTGAAATTATTAGACCGAATGAGACGTTTAAATAAAGTAAAACATCCAACGACTGATTTAAACCTGCCTGGCTTTGACTTGATTATGTGGCACTCCTGCTGGACTGACTCTGACTGACTGACCGCCTCCTCGCATCTGTCTGACGGCGAGCCACCTCATGATGAGACAGAGGGGTGTACAATAGCATTTTGATTATTTATTTGTGACATCTTACATTTTTGAAAATGAAAGAAAGCGTGATTATATATATTACAGCTAGAAATAATTATGTATAATTGTAATGATGAGAGATCGCGGTAAAAAGTGTATTTACGCCAAATATTTCACACCATACTCCCCTCCTGATATTGTAAACGCCCGTATATGAACTCTTCCTGCAGTTCCACATCTGACCAGTGCGGTGTGTGCGAGGGTTCGGATGAAATGCTAAACTCTTGTCAAAAACACCAGAAGAAGAGGAAGCTGGACCACTTAAGGGCGCCAAACTATAAAAATATGTAAATCTTTATATTTCATATCTATACTCGTTAGGTTTAACATACAAAACATATGCTGTTTATGTTTAATGTTCGCTTTTTACCTCCTGATTGAGAGCTTGACCATCTCTGTGGGTAAGTTAACCGGTAAAACGTACAGTCATAATAATGTCACCATCATTTGTAAACAGCTAACGTTAGTTGCAGCTGGTTAGCAACCCAGTAGTTGCCTGTTTAGCCTGGCTGACATGAAATAATAACCAGAAAATATATATTTTTAAATGGAACAGTTGCTTTATATGGCCAAGATGAAATTCTGATGTACTGTAATGTAAATCAATTACATTTTAATAATAAACATAAAATGCATCTAAATTTCAGCTGTCAATTTAACTTATATCTCCCAATAATTTGTCTTAGTAAGATAATATTTAGATGTTTAGTGTTATTATCAAAGCTCTGTTTTTATAGTGGGGATGCAAAACATAATGCAATGCAATATAATTGTTTTGCTATTATACTAAGGCCTCTTACATACTAAAATGTATGAACCATCAATCAGACAACAGAAGGCACCTGTACAGCAAGTTTTTTTTCTTCTTCAAAGTTTTGATCATGTTGATCATTTAGAGCAGTGGTCTCAAACTCAATTCCTGGAGGGCCACAGCTCTGCAGAGTTTAGCTCCAAACCACCACTGCTTGGAGGTTTCTAGTAATACTGGAGATCTTGATTAGCTGGATCAGGTGTGTTTGATTAGAGTTGGAGCTAAACTCTGCAGAGCTGTGGCCCTCCAGGAATTGAGTTTGAGAATTGATTTAGAGGCTATTGAAATTCATGTATCAAATATGAGACTGTTGGCTTTATAAGTGTAAATGTCATTTCAGATGCTGACAACTCAGAACCATGCCTCTGTCAACTCAGTCCCAAGCAGACATTGACCAGTACATTCTGATAGCCAGTTTGGATAACGCAAGGAATCTGTCCAACATCCTGAAAGCCATCTCTTTCAGGGACCATGCTATCTTCAATGCTACACAGAATGGGTTAAAAGTCACTGTTGAGGACTCCAAATGCCTTCAAGCCAATGCATTCATTCAGGTTGGCGTTGGAGGACAGTGTCTTACGAGTTCGGTTGGTTGACAGCAGTTGGGTTAATCCGTGTATTTGTGTGTCTGATTCCTCAGGCTGACATCTTTCAAGAGTACATAATCAAAGAGGATGCAGTTGGCTTTCAGGTTAATTTAACTGTTCTCCTGGACTGCCTCACCATCTTTGGGGGAAGCACAGTCCCAGGTGTGTATCATAATGATAATCCAGTCCTTCTTTTGGAAAATTAATAAAAAAAACTTTTATTTTACCCTTAAGGTGTGTGCACCGCCTTGAGAATGTGCTACAATGGCTACGGATATCCGCTGACTTTGTTCCTGGAGGAAGGTGGTGTGGTCACCGTATGCAAGATTAATACACAGGAGCCGGAGGAGCCCATAGACTTTGACTTTTGCAGCACAAATGTAACCAACAAGGTGATTCTGCAGTCAGACAGTCTTAAAGAGGCTTTCTCTGAGCTTGACATGACCAGTGAAGTTCTGCAGATTACTATGTCACCAAGCCATCCTTACTTCAGGTGCAGTAACAGTGCACACAACAGATCATCATGTATTGTCAAGTCAAATTTAATGTCAATAGATATTCATTATTTTCCTTTTCATTTTAGATTATCCACATTTGGGAATTCTGGAAACGCTCATTATGATTATCCCAAAGACTCAGACATGATGGAGCTGTTCCAGTGTACTAAAATACAGACCAACAGGTAGGAGGAGCTTCTGTTTTTGACTGCATTTCCCATCAATCGGAGCTCTGTATGACTTCACAAAACAACAGCCTTATGCTTATAGATGTACCTCTGAGGCATTCACATGTGGTAAAAGAACAATAAAGAGTCGCTGAGATTCTCTTGTTTATTCTCAAAGGTATAAGATGTCCCTGTTGAAACCCTCTACAAAGGCCTTGGCTCTGTCCTGTAAAGTCTCGGTGAGAACTGACAGTCGAGGCTTCCTCTCTCTACAGTACCTTGTGAGGAATGATGACGGTCAGATTTGTTTTGTGGAATACTATTGCTGTCCGGATGAAGAAGTGGAAGAAGAATAGATTGGAAAAAGCCATTGTTTTTGTTTTGTTTGACATTTAGTGTGCACTGACCTGCTGGTTCCTTTATCTGATTCTTTATCTGATTAATTTATATATGAATATTTCATGAACCACAAATATTTGAAGAGTTCAGATGCAAAAGCCTCTAAGTGCCATCTGAAATGTTCTTCTAAAATTACCATTTTTATCAGGCTCCTATGTTTAGGTTCAGTCATTTTACTTTAATGGCAATGTATAGGTCCTTTGCTATTCCATTAAAGTGAAATAACTGAACATAAATATAGGAGCCTGATAAAAATGCTCGTTTTAGATAAACCTTTCAGAGGGCACGTAGAGGCTTTTTCATCTGAAGTCTTCGTAGAGCTTATTAGAAGTTTATAATAGTTAAAAAAAAAAATTTATTGAATTTGAGACAATACTCTGTGTGATCGGCAGGGGGCGGCAGAGAAATGCTAATTAGGCGACTTCATATAATATTATTAAGAGCCCGATATTGGTTTAATATGTTAAAGATACACAGGTTAGTTTAAGCCTTTATGCTGTTTTATTTAATATACGACTAAAAGACAAATATTTATATATATATATATATATATATATATATATATAGATATCTGTCCACACA